CTAGATGATCCAAAACAACATGAATATATTAGTCAAGTATTAAACAGTTTTGCCTGACCAACAAATTAATAAAACAGAAAGAAATAACAATTACCTAAAGTAAACTTCACTAGAGATAACGTTTGTTCAAATTTGTATATCCAGCACCAATGCAAATCAAACTGATTTTAGGTGCACCTTCTTGCTCTTCAGGATTAGAATCTTCTTCAATGTAGTAATCAACCTTGAACGTGATGCCAAAAAAGTCCCGAATATTCCGTAGGAAAGCGATTGTATAGTCGGTAAGTGATCCAACAATTATTCTTGAAACATTTTTTTGGCCTAGGGTCATAAAAACGCATGCTATTGATTGAGCAACAGAATCGACGCATCCTCCTTGGTATATTTCTATGAGCAATCTTTGGGCTGCAGTTACACCAACATCTTCAGCAACAGAAGGTTCTTTATCTTCAGCGACGAGGTTGGAAATCTAAAATAAGCATTTACAGGGATGTGAATGCTTTAGAAATAAGGAATGTAGTATAACACAAAAACAATGAAGAAGACTATAATGAAACTAAATCAAAAAAGAAGCATTCGACACCCCAATAATATTACTAATTCACTAAATGTTGCAAATAATAATTTTTAAGTATTGTAATAATTTTTTAACAAATTTTCTCCTTATTCCAACAAATTACAAAGTTGTGAATTAACTATAAATATGAGAACTAAAATAAGTGTGTGGTATAGTCTATACCTCCATTATATTATTAATTCACTAAGCCTTGAATATATTAGAATCAAGTGTTTTACTAACACTATCAAAAAATTATCCCTTAATTTTAATATATTATAAACAATGAAAGTAAGACTAAAAGATCAAATTATAGAATTTGAGTTTTAACAAATATAAGAAATTTAAGTAAAGCAATACTAAAAAGGATGATGTTATGATTAATTGCTAAAAGGTTGAATATATTAAGGGTCAACTACTTTAATTCAGTTTTAAAAAAATTTAAATATTAAAAAAAATGTAATTACTGCTTCTGCTGAATAAAATACCCCTTCAGTGGTTTCAGCAACTAAATGAATGCCAAAGCCTGGACTATTTCCTGACTGTTTACCCCTGCAATGATCAGTAGTTACGAAAACATCAGGAATAAACTTCAGTAACACTCCTTTAGCAGCTTCTACCATTCGATTTGCCATGGTTGGTGAAACTCTTACAGCATAAGCTGTACCTCGGATCCTCTTTACCTTTCCTTGATTTAATATATGAACAGGATTAAGTTGATTTTGAATGGGGCATTTAAATACAACTTCTCCACCTCCAAGTGGTCTCATACCTGAACAAATCATAAATGCAATCAATGCAAAAGATATAAATCAAATGATTTTACTGTTACTTCACCTCTTTTTAATATTTTAAGTTCCAAACCTTCATCATTCAACATAAACTTTCTAAGAACAGGTAACACTGAAGCCTTTATGTGGTCTACTGAAGGATCTATTTTATTGTTTGTCACACCTTTGAGAGTTACATGCAGAGGATTTTTACAAAAGGGAGCCAATAAAATTAATACTTCTAAATAATAACCTACAACAGTGAATTAGTAGTAAATGTACAAATAGAAAAATATAAACAAACCTATTGAACGGTCAAGGGAACAGTCATGTTCAATAGTGCCCCCATGAATCATTCCTGGTTGAAAAAATAAACTTGTACCTGTTTCATCCAATTTAATATAAGAACCATTTGTTACTTTATCAAGCAATCGCACTAAGTTTACTTCAAACTCTTGTATACCAGGATCTATATCATATTTTCTAATATCTTCGATTTTAACACTTTTCCCACTTAATACAGCCAAAACTAAACGTTGTCGAAGGTACGCACTACCTTTATACGAAAGCACGTTGCCTTTTACTGCTACTGCTTTCGGCATTTTATTTTAGATTATGTTGGAGGTGAATACAAATAATTGCATTATCAATTTTTATTGTTAAAAACTTTTACTGTGAAGTAGAACACATTTTAAAAAATCACAACATAACCATATTATCTACATGCTGTCTGACCATAGACCTTCTAAATATCAACAACCGTAGATGATCTAGATGATAGATAAAAATGGGTACAATCATAGATGATAAAGTATTAGTAACTACTAATGTACTACTAACTACATGTAGTTCAAATCACTAAGCACTGAGACATTTGAATTGTTACGTTATAATTTGTCATTTGTGCTTCTAACCTTACTTTATAAGCAAATAAAAATCAAAAATTTACGTTCTAAGCACCAAATTTTAAACTTATTTGTATGAAAGTGCTTTGTAAAGAAACAAGTTCAAAAATTGAACTCATAAAATGTACGTATATATTACTTTTATGTGATAATTTTCACGGAAGCAATACTTGAAAATTATACTTTTAGAGACTAAAATAGAATTTAATATTTTGCTAATAAATTACAAACTATCGATGTCTAACAGCAAAGGAGCTTTAGATTTCTTGTCGATTTATGATGATGGAGAAAGTTCTGATGATGATGTACCTGGTTGTAATGTCTCAACAAAAAGGTGTCTCAAAGAGGCATTTGAAGAGGAAAAACCAAACAAAAGATTACAAATAAGGTACTAGTTATGCAAACAGCCTACTATTAAGATAGCAGTAAGATCTAATTATAGTATAAGTACTTAACTTATTTTTGCAGATTGCCCGTACCAAATCTTGTTATCAATCAGGTTAATTTGAATCCAGTTCCACTAGATGATCCAAAACAACATGATGGAAGGATCAGGTCATTTCCGCATGAGCGAGGAAATTGGGCTACATATGTGTATATTCCATGTAATTATAACGATATTAGATAGATAAGCACTTAAAAATATGACATTTTAATTTTAGATGAGTCTAATTCATTTGTATTCGATTTGGCTAATACTGTTATAAATCATGTACCAACAATAAAACTACAATTAGTGGATGACTTTCACATAAGTTTGACCAAAACAGTAGTGCTAAGGTATCATTGGATTGACCTTTTTATTCAGTCTGTGAAAGAAAATTTACTGTCACTTAAAAGGTAAGCTTTCAATGTATGTTTTTGCATATCAGTAATATGTTTTATTTAAGGTTTGTTATATTTTTTGATACTTTGGAAGTGTACTGCAATGAAGAAAGAACCAGAACTTTTGTAGGATTAAAAGTTGCCACTGGAATTAACACAATTGTGAATATTGTGCAAAAATTGGACAGTTGTTTAGAAGAATTTAAATTATCTAAGTTTTATAAGGTTTGTACAAAGTTTGCAGGGTTTTAATCTGCAACAATGTTTAATGAACAAAGTGAAAAAAAGAAAAAAGAAATGGAATTTCATTATCATGCTTTTTTCATAGGTTTTTAATTTCAGTTTCCATCTTTTCATATGAGTGTGGTTTGGTGTGCTGGTGATTATGAAAAGGTCTTGAAAAACGTTTTGTCAGAATTAAATGCCTTAACTATGGAAACTAGGACTTCCCACCCAGACACAAACTATTTATTAGTTGATAAAATAAACTGTAAAACAGGAAATAAGATATTTACATTTAATCTCCAGTAATACTTTTTTCATTATAAATATTGTTATTAACTGTGATATTAAAAACTTAAGTTTGACAATAAAAGTCTAAAATTATTATTATGAGTTTAATTTCCATGATTTTATCTATTAAATTAATACCAAAATTTTATAAAGTTCATAAATTCATAATAAACGAAATTAAGTATAGGTACACTTACAAAGATGTTAATACTACCTTTCTTCCTTTCTATTTTTTTAAAAATATTTTATTACAAATACCCAAGAAAGTTCACAGTTGTCACATGAACATAAGATGATGTCGGCTGAATATGTGTCTTCTGAGATTTGATTTTCTGTGTGTCCTGTAACCGCAAACATCGCAAATAAACTTTGGATCTTTTCCACATTCGTTACGGAGATGGTGTCGAAAAGATGATTTTAATATGTAGGTTTTCTTACAATTTATACACCTGTAAGGAAGCTCACCTGAAATATAAATTTGCACAATTTAATTAAAAAAAGAAACACACAAACCCATCGCCCATGCATATTAAAAAAAAAAGTAGAAATAAACGGATATTAAAAAATAATTCACAGCTAAATAGATACCGCAGATTTCCTATATTCTAAGTTTAAAAGGTATTTTAAACGACTTAACTTGCTTTTAGAAGTTTTAACACATTTTTATTTCTACTGAAATAGTATAATTTTAACGGACAAAATACATGTTTTCGTAATTATAACCTATATTGTTGGGAAACGAAGTACATCCTACCATAGCACCGTGGGTGACTAACTTAAGCATGCAACTTTAACTGTTATAAACTAATAGATGCATCTGATTGGCTGTTTCGCCGGCGGCCATCATGCTAATCGGTTAAAAGTAGGTCAAGTTCAGAACACCTGACGTAAAGGAATGTGGAAGTAAATAATGTTAGGCGCCACTTATTATTATTATTTTTAAAGAGGAATAAAAAAGTGGTTTCTGAAGCGATTTAGATGCTGTTTTTACCAATATTTATAAAATTTATTGCCGCTTTAACTCTAAATCTTAATTTATGAATACTCTATTAACAACATTACATATTCGAACTTAAACAATCACGAATGGAAATTCCATAATGGCCCCATGTGAAATACCTAAATGTTTGAAGGCATAGGTACTACGACTTTTAGATAATCATAGGTCTAGATTAGGCGAGCATCAAGCTTTTAGTTCTCCTCTTACGTATAATTTCATTAAAACTTCACTGTACAAGTGAAACCTATATTGCAAAGTTGCGTTTATTTTATTTATATTACACTTTAATTTCATTTTAAAGAATAAGCAAAGTAATTATTCATACTCAAAAGCAGAAATGTAACAATCTCGACACACCATTGTAGCATGTTCCAAACAAAAATATCTGCGACACTTTCGGCAATTATATTTAGTTTTTCGATTTTTTTTGGAACCGCAGAAGAAACACCTTCGTCGATTAGTTTGACCCGAAGTATTGGCTGGGGTAACGAAGCAAGCAGCTGATTTATTTGAATAATGCTTTTCTCTTAATGCATAGCTTGTCTTCTCTGGAAAATATTTAATTTAGAAATCAATTAAGTATTATGTTCCAGAAGACAGTAAATAGCAGAAAAATATTTTAAGCATTATTATTATTATTATGTATTAATTACAGCCAGCAGTAAAAATTGATCTGATTTAACCTTATTTAACGAAATAACTACCCAAGTTGAAAACATATTATTTTTTTGGCCTGTTCAATATAACAACTTGGAAAAAATATACCTTTGTAGATGTAGGTAGGATTTATCTTGGATATCCCGATGGCAATTAAACTCCACCAGGGTAGTGGTTAAAACATTACAACAATGTATCAGTTTATTCAATCATTCAACAGAAGTATAGTTCGGATTAAACCATTACCAATTTTCTTGGATTACTGCTACAATTAATATTTTATTTTATTAGTAACATACGTAACATACTAAATCATACAAAGGAATTATAACATGATGATGATTGAATAACCAAAACGTTACACAAAAATATTGTTATAATTTTTTGACCGCCAGCCTGGAAGAAAACATAAACTTTGATAGTAGAAACGTTCTTAATTTTATTTTTTACATTGGGATGATCTATTCATCTAACAATTCGTTATATTTGTTTCCCATGTGTACTATACATGTTCTAAGACGTTGTTGCACTTTAATGTAATCAGGGAAAGGAGGGACTGTATGCAAATGATAAATTTTCATAGCCGACAAAAAGTAAGAAATAGCTTTTTTGAATTCCATTCTTTTAAAATGGGCTTCTCCGTCATTTAAATAAGAATCGACACCCTAAAAATAAAGAAAAGAAAAAGTTAACTTATTATTTCAATTGTTCTCACTCAGTGGCGGCTCGTGAATCATACACATTAAAAAAAACACGTAGAAGCTAGTTAAGTCTAATTTCAAGATCAATTTTCCACTTTACTTACTGAATCGTCTTATAGGAACGATATATTTGTCTTTTCCTCTGTGTCACTAAATGATTAATTACTTTACCCTTAAAGTTAGAAAAGCTTTTTTCAGCTAACGCCAGATTGATCGAAATTTTGTATGCTTGGAATACAAGTTAATGCCTTTTCACTTTTTCTTTTGAGTTTAGTCAAAATAAATAAACAAGAATGTTAGTTATCGTTATCACATTAATTTGTGAAATATTGTCTGTATTTTATGGGTGAAATCGGTGAATCATTGATCATACGACCATAAGCAAAAACCGCCACTGACTGTATTTGTACAGTACTATCATATACTGGGCTAGAAATGAAATTATAAATGCTGTGCTTATGCAGTACAGTTTTACCTGGAGCATTTTTAATGCATTTAAAATATTCGACGTGTTCACCGCTCCACAGTTGGGACAATTCTTAAACGGATCCAATTTATCATCTGCAATTACGTAATTCTTACACGAATTCGTCTTGCAGGGTATTTTTAAACACGAAGGATCCATTTCCTCATACAGAGGCCAGTTTTCTTCGCACGGAATACATTTGCAAATGAACCAATATCTATCTTTTAAATATTTTTGGCGATTTAGTTTTGGATCTGTGGTATACATGGGTCCATAGTTCTCGTAAATTATATCGCCCTTTTTCACGCTTTTTATAAGCCTAGCAACAATTCTGTTTCCAATATTATATCTAAAAAAATTCATTTATTGTTTGCTTTTATTATGGGACACATACATTAATATTTTTTTTTTATCTAAATAGTGTTAACTCGAAAATGGTTTTATATTATTCTAATTTACATTGGGCTAATGTTTATAGATTTTTATTTACCTGACTATGCTGGGTTCACAAGAATGGTTAAAAAGAGCTAGCGTAGGATATAATGCACCCCCAATGTCGACAGAAACACAACTTTTTTTACCCGATTGAGTGTCCAAAGGTTCGGGTTGTAATTCGGAAAGTTCGTGAGAATTAAATTGTAAAATTTGTAAGAATCGTAAAATTAAACTTCCCACAAATGCTTTCGTATCGGATAAAGAATCGTTTTGGACATTTCCAAAATAATCGGTTAACATAAGTAACTTTAATAAAAACAATGCCATAGCAGTGTATAAAAGAAAATCACCGGGTTGCCTTTGCTCTTCGTGTCGACATAAACTGTAGATGTGGTTGAAAAACTCAAAATTCTTTTTCTCACATTCAGGGAGATTATTAAGATTTTTAAAATTTCTAAAATAATTTAAATCTCTACACGTTATCAATCTTAGAGCCATTGCACAATTTACTGAGGCTGCTGACTGTATCAAACTAGGCAACATTTCGCATTCTCGTGAGTGAAATCCATCTAAAGCGTTATCCCTACATTCCAAACTACAGAAAACCACACTGGAGCAACGGGGGCATGCAATGGGTAATTTAACTGATTTTATGCAGTTTTGGCAGTTCTTGGTGTGATAATCTTTAGCTAAAACCGAGCAAAATGGTTTTTCTTCAACTACCACTGTACCAACCGGCAGATCTTCTTTGGCTACAGCAAACCGCCCTTGATCTACATCTTCACTAAAATCTACTAATGAATGAGCCCCGTTGAATTTTTTATTTCGCGGAAAATTGAGCTCGGGATTATTACGATTAGATTTAACGTTTTTATTACAGTTAATGTTTTGGGCTATTTTCAGCGAGTCGGCTATCTCTTTTTTCCTATCATTTAATGCTGATTCTTTTAGAGATGCTTCGCTCAAAAAATCGCGAGCTTTTTCAAACGCCAAGGTGGCAGCTTCTTTGTCTTGCTGTGCCAAAAGGCATTTACCCTTTCTTATATACAATTTATATAAAATATTTTTTGGACATTTGGCATCTTCTAAAGCGTATTCGATGTCACGAATTGCTTCTTCAGTTTTATTCATTTCATACAAAACAGCGCTGCGATTCGCTGCTAAAATAGCTAGCAATTCTTTCGAAGAATCTAAAAAAACTTAAAATAATCCACTTTACTAATACCTACAGTAACTACCTGAATCTTGTGGACAAATGATGATCCCTTTCGAGTAACAAACAATGGCATTCTTTAAGTTTTTTTTGGAATAAAAACTGTTTCCTTTTTCTTTCTCGGCTTTAGCGGATTCAAGACACTTTTCGGTTGGCGTTTTGTTTACATCAACGTTTCCGCATTTGTACAAATATCGAATACGATCTTCATCATCTTTTAAACTACTGAACGTATTTATGTCATCTTCTTGTAAAGTGGCAATTATTCTCTGGCAAAACTGTTGGAAAACTAAGTTTTCGCTTTTCATATTCGTCAGAAGAATTAACAAGCGCACAAATGCAACTAACTTGATGCTTTACAGACACGTATCTACCTACAAATAGGCGAAGCTAAATTTAGGACCATACCAGAGTCTATTTCTGGACAGTATACCAGAGTCTATAACAGTGCGTTCGAAGTTTCAGAATTGAACCAAAGTGGGATAAATTTAAATGTTTGATGACAAAAGAATGCTGACACCATAGAGATTATATTGTACGCACCACCTCTCTGTAATTATTTTTTGGGCAAAGTAATAAATTCGTAATGTTTTTTATTATTTTAATTTTGTTATAGTCCAAGTTCCTCTTTTTATTGATGTACTAGGTTTTACCCGCGGTTCCGCTTGCGTTATGTCCTAAATGCGTGATAATGATCATCGACGACCATATAAAACTGATTTTTCTATCCCTCGGGAACAGTACTTTATTTATGAATAAAAGGTACCCTATGTCCTTTTCTGTATCCCTGACAATACGTGTACAAAATTTCATGATAATGGGTTGCACAGTTAAAGCGTGAAGTGGTAGCAAACAAACAAAAATTACCATTGTAATTGTAAAGTAATTCTCATTAAATTAGACGTGTATGTTCGGGACGATGCTCTAACAAGGCGAAATGTACATAGAAATATATAAAAGCTACATATATTTCTCATTTTTTTACATAGATGTAGAACAAACAAAATAGCTCTATAACTAAGTTCACTTCAGTCCCTGAAGAAGGTAACCTTATTACCGAAAAGTGTTTTGGACAACTAATTGTCGTGTTTTGGCGTTGGGGTTTGAGCTATTTTGTTTGTTATACAACAACTGCCAAAGTTTTCCCAATCTTCATATTTTTACATGGATGTGTTAATTGTGAACAATAATTATAGGTATGCTAAATTGTGTCTAGATAACATATGTCTATGTAAGCTATGATTTCGAGCAGCAGTAAATGTACACAAGTGACATTTGAATGAAGGTAATATTCCACATTCATAATTAAGGTGGCGACTTAAATTAGATTTATGTTTATAAGATTTGCTGCATCTGGGGCAAGAGTGCAGCGATTTGTCGAAACCTGAAATGGATAATGTCTAATTATTCCACATTTGCTCCTAAAAGTGCTCGAGGAGTTGATGAGGTAGTGAGTTCATACCTGGCGTCAGCATCACGCCTTAATCAAGAAACGCATATTTTAGTCGTAGAACAGTTTATTAAAAATATCTGAAAGATTTTGTACAAAAAGTTGATATTGGGCACAATTAAATTCTTTTGTAAATGTTTTGAAATTCGTTCACCTTCTCTGAATGTTTGACTATTACATGCTTGTGCAAACTGTACTTCTGTTTGACGCTATGGGCACAGTAAGGGCACTTGAAAGATGGCAATTTTCCACACTCGTAACCATTGTAATTGTAAAGTAATTCTCATTAAATTAAACGTGATCTATTGATTTCTTTTTGTAAATTTTGTAAAAAAAAAAGAAATAATAATTGCTTTATAATTTTACTCTCTAATATTATAAAGGAAAGGTTTGGCATGTAATGCTGTATTTATTAGAACGTATACTAGTATACAAATATATTGTTGAAACTATGTTTATCAATAAATTTTGTTTAGTACATACAACTTCCCCTTTATAATTATACCTCACTTAAACAAAAAGATCCAGTGATTTGGGATAAAAGTTTTGTAGTTATTTTAGATAAATTGAACCTAAACTCACTGACTTTTGATTTTGAGTTTTTACCATGAAAATTTCATGTAACCTCTGAACCCTTGTCTCTCATGTCTTTTGACATGTGCTTTTAAATTGCTTTTGTTTTTACATTTAAAAGGGCATCCTTCAATCGAGCAACGAAATCCAGGTTCTTTACCACATTCCATCTTCAGATGCTGATGTAGATTGTGTTTCCATTTATAGCGCCTATTGCAGTTTTCACAAGTATAATGATCTAGAAAATAATCAAATTTACATTGTCATTAAGTACAGAAAGGGTAAACTGCTAGAAAAGAAATCAATGATGGTAAAAAATAATAAAATTATGTTTTTTTTTTTATGCAGATATTTATTTCACAGATGTAAAGTCTTTTTACATTTAGGTAACTGAAACTAAATATTCTAATGGAAACTTAAATTAACTTTTTAACAAATGAAATAAACGATTAACAAACAACCAAATTTCTAAACAATAGTCCAAGTAATTGGAAGAATAACATAACGCAAATTTATTACACTTTTTTCTAGATAATTAACAACTGATTCTCCTACAAAAAGGGGGAAACACTTTAAAAAAGTTGTTTCCAATAAAAAGAAATTCATTCATCTTCTATAATATTGATTTGTTTTTACCCACATTGTGATAATTAATGAACTTTTCCATTTTATTAACATGAAAGGCGAAATGTACATTGTTTTATCTAAAAATAAAATGCTGTTTCGTTTGTTTAATTCCTTTTAAAAACTGTTTGACGATTTATAAAAACTTATGGTATTACATGCACTGTAGCTTGATGGATAAACATACTACTTTTATGTTTAAACTTTTTAAGACATGTAGGACACTGAAACTTTGGTTCTACTCCACATTCGAACTTTAAATGTCTTACTAAGTGCTGTTTTTGTTTATATGATAGTGGACATCTGAGGCAAAGGTAGCGTCCGTCTTTTGCTCTCTCAAACGAAGTAAACCTGAAATCTATAGGTATCTTACATTTTTAACCCTTCTAAAAAAATGAAGTACTAACTATATGGGTAAATATTCTGTCAGCATCAAACCTCGAAGGCGATACCTAATATTATCAACTATTTGCATGAATGCTTTCAGTAAGTTTAATGAAAATTGGTCCAGCGATTCCTAAAGTATTCAGGGATTTCTATAAGTATGAACCGATCATACATAGAGGATTATGGAGGGATATTTTGGGTTTAGAAAGTTATATAATATAAAATAAATAAACTAAACAATCATATAAACTAATGTGAGTATTTAAATTAAGTCTTTTAATTTCTATCGTTTTTAATTTCATGCTTCCTCCAAATTTCTTATATTATGTTATAATTACTAATTTGCTAGCTTTTATAACACCGGTATAATTCGCCTTTAGTTCACTTTTGTTGCATAATATGAGTTCGAAAAGAAAGAAAATAATGTTTTAACGATACTTGTATTGAAACTGTAGACAAGCATTCATTTGCTTGACAAAAGAAGGTGTGCATCGTTGGCAGACAATTTATGATGTCTGACATAGTGGCAGTGCAAATGAGTCTTTTGCCTGGCTTTGTACTGACAACCCTGGACAAGGCATCGAAATTGGGGTGGTACTCCACATTCGAATTTTTTGTGTCTCCACAGCGAGCTTGAATTAATGTAATACTTATTGCATTTAACACACCTGTAATTTGCACCAATGACACCTAAAAAACGACGGAATTAGAATTATAAAAATCTACTAAAACAGACAATTATTTCAATTTACTAAAATTCTTTACGTGCAATATTTATATATCTAGGTACTTATTTGATAAAATTTAGAATAGAGAGTTTGGAGGGGTTAAATAATTGATCTATTGATAGATCCCATCATTTCCGTTTCTGTCTTCTCCGTGTTCACGCACACCGTTTGTTTAAGCAATATGGTAATACCTTAATTTTTCAATAGAACCGAATAACTAGAGCGTAGGTCTACCACGACAGAGGGCCGGACACCTTTTTGGATAGTTTTAATTAATTAATCAAAAATTAACGCAGTACACTCAAAATAGCTTAAACTGACGATATTCTATTTAATCTTCTTTTCCTATTTTGTATTCAATTCTTTTCGATCAAAGCAAAAACCACAGTCAACGTGGTTGTTGATATCTGAACAAATTCCATCAGATTACAGAATTTGAATAAATAAAATTTGAATAAATAAAACTAGTGTTGAAAAAGTTCAACAATCTGGGCGAAACGTTGGCTGTGTTTATTTTTAATAAAATACATTGAAGCCGTAGTATCGCTTTGATCAAAAAGAATTTAAGTGATGATATTTACTAATTAAAAGTGCTATACCTATAATGGTACATTAAGGCATAATTTTTAAATAGAAAATTTTGACAAAAAAAATTTGAAAGCGAATTTCTTGAAGGATGAAATCTTTAGGCCCTAAAACGTCCTTTTGTTTCAGTTTAGCAGACGCATCTAGAGGGGAGGGGCACCTCATTTAAGTTAACTATTTAAATGAGAGGTAGGGATGATTGTAAAATTCACATAGACCAAAACTATAATAAAACACACATTATTTATTTATGTCTCACAAATTTTTTTTAATGAATACAACTGGAGGCACGTAATACATACACAAAAATGAAGCACGGTTAGACTCTTTATAGGCAAAATTTTAATGAGTTTTAATTGGGCATCAGACTTTCGTGCTTATTCAAAACGTGTAACCTTAAAACATTTTTTCTGAACGAAGCATATTGACAGAATGGACACTTATTGAACGGCTTTTTGCCACATTCGTATCGCACATGACGATTTAGATTCGTTTTGTGTTTGTAAACTTTTGAACAATTTGGGCACGCAAAACCTAAAAAAATATTAGATTAGAAAAACGAGTTGGAATTCATTCGGGCATTAAAGTTACTGTAGACTTTGATGGGTTCAGAAGTAAGATAAATGTTTCTTTTCTGTAAATATAATTCAATTGTGATTGAAAATAAAATGCCATTAGAAAAGTAAGGGTTAGTATTCATTTTATTTGTAAGCTACAGAAGTTTCTCTTTGAGGTGAAGATTATCAAATTATAATTGTAATGAACTATTAAACTTGATAATTACTATTGATGAAGCGGGTGGAATACTTTCAAACATTATTTGATAATTGAAACAAAAACAGGAGTGTTATGCTTCATTTACTTTCTGTAGCGAATGTGTTGGATGCGCGCTGGCAAAATCGTAGGCAGGGAGGAAAAAGCTCATTATACTCTCGACTCTTGTTCATTAAACATACTTTTTCATACAGTACCTGCCAAATGTTTTGTTCAATCATGAATAGTAGTGCGAGTCCAAAACAACCGTTAAAGCCTTTAATATGTCTTCAAATATAAATAAACATCTCGTTGATATTTTCAGTAGTAATTGGTACCAATAACAGCACATTTGAGCAATGCAATTGTAGTGTATAAAATGGTCAATTTTCCATGCAGTACTGTACGGATCATACGCTCCTCACCGGTTAAGAGTTTGGCCGAGAGTTGTCTCTTTCCTTTTCTG